TGTTAGAATTTTGAATTATTAACCTAAAAAAGCAACTAATGAAATTTATAAAAGAAAGCAATATTGCTAAAAATAATAAAGCTTTATAAGAGGCTGTGTTAAATACATAGAGATCTAATATAAATTTAGAAAAATACTTCAAATTTATATATAGAAACAAAATTTGTATGAAATATATTTTGAGACAAAGTCTTTGTTATTCTTCGCAATATAATATACAATAGATTAGATAAAAGATAATAAAAATTTTTTTATATATAAAATTGCATTAATAAAAAGATCTAAAATTCAGAATTTTATATATATATATTTATCATAAGTTTTCATCGTACTCTTATATATTGTTTACTACTTTTCCAAAATGTCAGAATTATTTTTTTTATTGTCGTTATTAGCTGCTTGAATGTTTTTTAACCAAGCTATTTATTTTTATCTATAATAATTAATAGCAAAACTAATGGGTCGTAGTTGTCATAAGTGGTCTATTTATTTTAAAATACTTGATGAGTTTGCAAATAAAAGTAATAAAGCTGCTATATGTCTTGCCTGTTTAGAAACTTTAGGCAGCGAAGCTAAAAAAATAACCAACAAAGCAAATTTATGTTATAATCATTTAAAATCTTGTCCATATTTTGCACAAAAATATTCTTCAGAAGAATTAGAAAAAATTTTTTAAATCGATAATGAATCTAACTCTGAATCTAGTGAAGAAGATTCTATAAAAAAAAATTAAACAAACAGGTAAATTTTATTTTTAATAAATTTTAAAATATATAGCAATAGTATTAACTTATAATAAAAATGATTTAATAGCTTCTCAAAATGATAATAAACTAGTTAAAAGAAAAAAGCAAACAAATGTTAGCCAATACTTGTATCATCCATTACCTGATAATATTCAGCAACAATTTGAGCAACATATAATTCGTGGAACAGTAGCAAGTGGATTACCATTTAAATGGATACAGGATGAAGATATTGTAGCTGCTTTTAAGCTTATTAATCCTACAATTAAATTACCTTCACGTCACAAATTAAGTGGATCTATTCTAAAAAAAGAAGTAAATATTACAATAGATCAATTTGAACTTATAGCAAAAAATGATAATTCTGGTGTTACTTTAATATTTGATGGATGGAAAAATATAGTTAAGCAAAAAATCATGGGAACTGTACTTATTACCTCTAAAGGTAAAGCAATCATATGGAATGCTGAAGATATTAGTTTAGAAAGAAGTTGCACTTTTAATATAAGTTCATTTACTGAACATTATATTGAAGATTTGGCTATGAAAAATATTAATGTAATTGGGGTTGTTTCAGATTCTGCAGGAGAAAATGTTAAATCACGGCATGTATATATTTTTATTTATTAAAATTTATTTTTTAAAAAAAGCTAAATTGTTTTTATCTTAGAAAAGAACTACGATTACAATATACAAATATTATATTTTTGCCTTGTTTCGCTCACCAGGCAAATTTATGTGTGGGCGATATTTTTAAGTCTTCAGAGAGATATAAAGAAATTTCAATTAAAGCTATAAAAATTATTAGCTATTTTAATACATCTACTTACTTTTTAGGGCAACTTCGTAATCAGCAAATGCATCTTTATAACGGAAAAGCTTATGCTTTAACATCACCTTGTATTACAAGATGGAATAGTTTCTATAATAGCTTTCATAGTATTTTAAAATCAAAAGGAGCATTAACGGTAGTATTTTATTATTTATTAAATTTATTTATTATTTTTATTAATATAATTATAAAATAATTTAAAAACAATTATATATTATAGATACTTGTAACTAATATAGAAAATTCAACTAATTCAGATGATAAAAAATTTCCACTTGATATAGCTAAAATTATTAACGATTCTATATTTTGGAATGATTTAAAAGAGTTAGATGAAATTCTTGTGCAACTCTTAATAAACTCCAATGTGAATCAGCACGCTTATATGATATTATGCATGCATATGCATGGATAGTTAAAACTGTTCAAAGAAGACCTGATTCACCATTTCGCTCACATATGCTATTACGTTTGGAGAGGCGTTGGAATCAATGGGAACAGCCACTTCTTATATTATCTTGGTTGCTTCACCCAAGCTATGGTTTAAAAAAGCTTAATATTCATCTAAATGGTTTAACAGCACCAATGCTTGGTAAATGGGCAGTTTATTATTATACAAATTGGTTTTCTATAAGACCAGAAAGTATTTTATTAGAACTTGAAGATTTTTTGGCAAATAATTCACCATTCGATACTATATTTTTTAACCAATTTCATAATGATATAATTAAGTATTGGTCCTTTATTGAACGTGGAACTCATAAAGAACTTGCAAATTTTGCACTTCACTTATTTGGAATTTGCATTAATAGCGCTTCTGTTGAGAGATTATTTTCAACAATGGGATTTTTCCATAATAAGCGAAGAAGTAGACTTGGGGTATGTTATTAAATAAGTTATAGCTTTATAAAATGCTTTTAGTTTCGATAATACTGTCGTGACTGAAGTTGGGATCCGACTAAAGTTGGAACTTCAGTTTACTGAAGTTGATACCTGCCTAAAACAGCTAACTAATGCGTGCAGGATGATCTAATTTCGGGGGCTAATTTCAGTCAGGTGCAACTTCAGTCAACCGAAGTTCCAACTTTAGTCGGATTCTAACTTTAGTCACGACAGTACTATAATTTTTAAAATGCTACACGTTAGAATAAATCTTGTTATATTTAAAATTAACTTATTAATTTTAAATACACAAATTTCGAATTCACTCAATCATTAAAAAAGTTTAATTTAACTTAAATTTAATTCTGAATTAAACTTGTATATATTTAATTTTGAAAGCATTTAAAGTTATATTTACATCTATACAAATTATTACAATTAAGAATATTATTTACATAAATTATTACACTGCATACTAATATAATTCTTTTTTAGTATAAAAAAGTTCTTGAAATGAGTCAATTACGAGGCAAAATTATGCAAGAACGCAAGTTAAAATCTATTGAAAAAGCAGCAAGACAAATTCACAATCCACATATCGTATTACCGATAGTTTCTGATTCAGAAGAAAACTATTCATCTCAAGATTCGGATTTGGAACTTGATCAAGTTGATGATAATAGAACTAATAATGATATTCATTGGGAGGAAGTAGTTGCGAATTGGTTAATGCTTTTAAAAAATGAGCAGTTTGAAGAAGATTTGGATTTGACGGAAATAGATGAAACAGTTCATCCTGCCACTAGCCAAGAAGCTAAATGGCCTTTATTACAAATTTTTCAAGATAATATTGAGCAACCCGATTCATATAATTTGTTATTGGGAAATTAAATAAATTTACAGTTTATATTTTATATTATTGATATAAATACGTATAATTATATAATTTATAAAATTATAAAACTGAAACCTTTAAGCTAATCTTTATTATCTATATAAACTCTTATTATAAATAGAGATTATAAACTGTCTTTTATCTTCTAATGGAAAAATTCCCCGTGAAAATTTTAACCAAAAAGAATTGCACGCACATGATATGAAAAATTTTTTTGGATATGTTCCAGCCAAATTAATGTTGGATCTTAGACTTTATTAAATTGCTTTAGAGTGATACATAGCATACATCAGTACAATCGATATATATTTGAACTAACGATTTTGTAGCATCAGCCGGTGGTTTCCTACTCACACAAAGCAGGCTGGCTGATAATTAGAAGTTTTGCAGTCAACCTAGCAACTGTTACGACTAGTGATGTGCCGCGTACAGTACTGTACGTACTATACATACGTACTGTACGTACTGTACGCGAGAATTTTTGCCGATCATTTAATATGTAGTCTGTTTTATGTTAATTAATTAGGTAGCTGCGCGACGTAGTCACGCTAAAACCAGGAACGGGAAGCTTTATTTGGGATTAGTAAATATGTTTAATTACAATATATATAAAGAAAATAATAAAAAGAAAGTTTTCAGTCATTGCTTTAAAAATTTAGTATAATTATAGTATAAATCAATTTCATGAATTATTTTATTGACAGTTATTTCATTGATAAAGCTTGGTGATAGGATTGGCTGATAAATGGTTAGTGTTGGGTACAAAACTTTAACATATATCTGCATAGCTTAGTCAATGAGCATTTTTTGCGAATAACGAGCAATCTATACTAATATTTGACACTGTGAAGATTTATTTGTTTTTACCAGTACGATCACGTTTTATGTGTAACATGAAATGTGGTAGGGATGGACTGGTTTAAGTTTTTTGATGTCGCTTATGCAGATTTTTGAGAATTCCATATTTAGCAGGAGTGGTGATTTTCATTTACTTGTACATAATTAGAAAGAATTGTGCTTTTTTGTTTTTATTAATTGTATGCTATTGCAGTGATGATGAGCTGTTATCACGTGAATGTGTATATGTATGAACAGAACTGCGTATATGTTTTCAATTTGGTATAGATAAACATAATTATGAGATCACTGTGATTTAATTTTGATGTATGAGTACAATCGTTCGTAAGAATTATCATTAATAAATTAGAAATATGATATGTAAAAAGATGTAGTCACTAAGACGGTATTTTTTGATAATTATGACTTAATGTTTATATGCGTGAGACTGTATTTATTGCTAAAAATATAATCATGTTTCTTGAGTTCGTTTGTAATGAATTATAGTTGAATATGATATATAAAAAGGTGGAACCATTATGACTATATTTTTTTGATCACTGTGATTTGATTTTATATACTTATTATGCACATGTATAGAACTGTTTTTTGTTAAAATATTTCTTAATTGATTATCGTTAATCGCATTTTGAACGGGTCTATTAATAAAGCACGAGTGCAGAATATAAAACAGAATACGTAAAATATTATATGTTTACGTATAATTTTACAAGTGTCCACTCGATTATACATAATTTTACGTTTGGTAGCAACTACTTTCTTCTTTTTGATACTAATTTTCTGCTGTTACTTGCTATATAAGTATGTTTTTTGAAACTTTGTTATTATTAAGCGTGCTGAATCTTGAATTTTTTTAGGAACGATTTTATGTTTTCTGATAATTATAAGTCAAAACGTAAACGACAAAAGCTAATAGAAGAGCACATGTGGTTTATCGTCAACATTAACGAAAGCAACAACGTAAACGACGTGAAATTCAGCGTGCTAAGAAACAAAAAACTTGTATTGAAAAAGATACACGGGCGACCGAAGCACATGTTCCATTGCGTGTTTTAGAAATAGATGATAAGTTCAATTTATCAAAAGAACAGTACATTGACTGGCTACGACCAGTTAATAAAACTCTTGCGAATAATGCATTGGCAACATTCCGTGATAATATTAGTTGTGATTCACTTAG